TTTTTTTTTTTTTTTTTTTTTTTTTTTTTTTTTTTTTTTTTTTTTTTTTTTTTTTTTTTTTTTTTTTTTTTTTTGAAAGACGCCCTATAGACAAATGGTAAGATGCTTCAGAGATTGTTGAAATGAATTATGAAATAATAATTTATCTACAAAAAAAGTGAAAGATAAAATATGCGTGTGTAATATGCATCAAATCTTCATAAATACAAAATTTATTCGTTATATATTTAAAGCGTAGTAGAAATCTTTCAATATTTATACAAATGTTATGTATAGTAAAATCGCGTGCAGATTGACTGATGTCTAAAGTCATTATCACATAGCCTCGTTCAATATTTCGAATGCCTTCCTGTAAACTTCGAGCATTGTTTTGCATTTTTGTCTTTCGCTCATTATATTTTCATCTTCCTGTAGCAATTCGGTGAAAAGTTCATCCTTGTACAGCTCTTCGACTAAACGATTGTGAACCGACTCACGAGAATGGTTAACCAAAAGATGCATGACAGCTTTCGGTACGAGGTCTTGAATCGTTTTGCGCACGATATTGAAGTATGACGTGATCAAAGACCCTGATAGATTGAGGTTAAATTCGTCAAATCGATATTTGTATATTATAACGAGGGTGTGTCTTATGAATTAAAATTCACGTACGTATTAATTGAGTTTCAAGCTCTTCGCGTTCGGTCAAGTGGTTTGCGTCATCAATGATTGAACCCTTCGAAGAGATCGTGTCAGTGTAAATCAAAAACGAGAGTATACACCCCAATAACAACCCCAATACACACATTGTCCAATCTCTTCTCTAACTCGCCGATGTCTATTGCTGGTTTTGAGAATGAGCTATTTCTGGTGGGTGCCGGTTGGTCGGGTAAGACGGTCCTGTCGGTCTTGTTACCGCCTCCAAAGAAATATGTCAAAAAATAGGAGTCGCGTGAATTACTTCCTCCATTCGGAATGCTTACTTCCCTAGAACCGCTAGATTCTTTAAGTGAATCGGAAGGTAAGGAAGAATTATCATGGGTCTCGTTTGACGAACCGTTCGTATGAAGTGGACTAGACCCAGCGTTCCCGTTCGTCTGCAGTAATGGAAATAGATTAAAAGCGAATTTTAATATTAAAACACGCTACGAAAATTTATTGCTTACCCTTCTACTGAGCTTTTCATATTCCCTCCTCTTCTTTTCATTTTTTTTCATGAGATCAGAAATAGCACCTCCGCCACCAATAAAATCAGGATGATTTGTGTTAATGTAAGCGCGTTGGATGTTGATTAAACTTTCCACGTATGATGAGGTGGGAGTGAGGCGTTCGCGAAGTAAATCCGAAACGACCTCTAAAAGCTTGGCGTGCAAACGGGGATAACGGCTGAGTTCCTGGTTATCGAAAATTCTCGGAATGAATTGATATGCCATAAAAAAATATCTGGGGACATACAATCAATAAAAAAAAAAGGCTGTGCCTAGTGTTAACGACATACCTGACCTCCACAATTATGACATATTTTCATCAGTTCTTCATACACGAGTTCAACACACCTAAGACTTGGGGACTCGAGTAATCGAATCTGAGGTTTCACCAACAGATCGAAGGCGATTTCCGGTACGAATAGAGATGGCCGAGGGCCAGTCGAATTACGAATGGCCGTTCGAATATCTTGCACGGAAAGGTTACTGCACGGGCTAATAGATTCTAATGCAGCGCCATAAACATTATTAAAAATATAATATACTCGTGCACCTCCGCACCTTTAAAAATGAATGGTGTCCTCGGTTATGATTAAAAGTTGAGATTAAGGAGAATGATCAAGAAAAGTCCGAAAGAAAAAAAAAACGCACAATTCCTTGGTCGATAGGTCTACCATTGTACCGTCGATCGACGAGATGAAATCATTCGAAAACTTGGTGAGAAGTTTCAATATCATTGCACCCTAAATAAGCGAATGGATAACTAAGTATATGGAAAATGAATTCCACACGCATAAAATCAATCGCGTACCCTGCTGGATTTTCCCTCAACTGTTGGATCTCCATAAGATGAAAGTTCTTGTTGCGTTTGACTTATAAGAGCGTTGATCCTAGCCTTCATATCAGGCAATCTCTCCCTTATATGGTTCATGAGGATCTTTTTATTGTTATCAATATCGTTAGAAGAAATTTCACGTGGAATAGATAATCAAGATGCCACTATAAACATATTTACATTGTTAAGAGTTTTCGCCAAGAAAGGGGTCCCACACCGTGATGAAATATTTCGATATGCTGCGTGATTTTTAAAAAATTCGATTTCGGCCTTCAACGCCTCAGACATAGGTTTGCTCCCATTAATATCTTGTTGACTACGATTGACAACACCAATGAATCCCAATTTTAAAGGCAAAACACGACCCGTGAGAATCTCCAATGCATTGGTGCCAGCATCCATCAGATCTAATTTGGTCAGTACCCCAATAGTCCTCTTTCCTGTACGCACATTTAATAAATCGATCAGAAAATAATACTAATTATGTATAACTCTGAAGTGTGGTATACTGACCTTCCGGATCAACTTGTTTCGCAAGTTTCAAACTCTCTGAATTCACCAAATCGACATTGGCTGGACTAACGGCCAGGACTATACTTTAAACATGAAAACATGAAATATTAAGGATGACGAAATTACTTTTTTTTTTGCTTTCATTTTGCAGGAAACTTGATCATTCGCATACCTATTTGGTTTCGTTATATAGTCGAGAATTAAATTTCGAGTTTGTTTCTCAATGTCGGTCGGCTGATCGCCTAAGGTTATCATTATGAGATCATTAATTTCCCGTCCAATCTGTCAAGCGATTAATTTTAGTAATTCAAATATTTACGAGTGCCTACCGACAGGAATCTGAAGAGAAGAGGAGGTGATCAGAACGTTTTTCGTGCGGGATATCGATGTCGACAGAACAAAATTCTTTTAAAGATAAAGATACCTTAGTCAGTCCGGGCAAATCCACCAACGTTAAATTGAGGACATTTGGCGAATATATTTTCAGGTGAATTGGAGATCTAGATATTCCTTTGTTCTGACCCGCAACCCTTGCCGTCTCATTCTCGATTTCCTTCCTGATTTCGGAAAAATCCACAAACCTATGATTCGCAGCGTGCAAGAATTCGCCATACTCTTCGGCCTTCTCGTCTTCGGAGTCGTGAGTGTTGACGAGTTGAAGTACGAGCGGGCGACGAGTGACAATACCGTTGCCGCGAGGCAAGAAATCTCGTTGAACTATGTTTTCTAAAACCGAAGATTTGCCGGAAGACTGTGAGCCGACAACAATTATTTGAGGGAGATCTACGGTGTCACTACCGATAGTATTGAACACATCCTGTAGTTTATTTACTATTGGAATTAGATCGTTCATCTCCACGCCAACCAAAACTGTTTAGGTACTAGACAACTGAGGGAAGTTTGATTTTGAAAACAAGTATTTTCAGTGTCACACGCGACTCTGAAAAAGGAATGCGCTGACCAAAAAAAAAGAGAGAAAGAAAAGCTAGAAGACAAGTCTCGCTCACGAAACCAAAAAAGATATATATATATCTCTCTCTATCTAAAAACTTCAGCTGGAGATGAGTAAATCAAATTAGGTATAGCAAAATTGAGTGGCGTAGATGGTATCACAATTTCAGATCCCTGTTTATACACGTGAGTTACGTAAGTTTATGCAATGCGATGCATACATATACCAGAATATAGTCTAATTTTACCAAGGTTGGTTTTTATTTCTATGCACATTCGAGTAAATCATTTTCGATCTCGAGATTCTAAAGGATTGCTTCCACACATTGTACACGGTACATGATGAATTATGCTTGGATGATTTTCATGAGTCATTGTTCCGTCCGTCCTCCAAGGAATGAGTTTTTTTTTGCAGTTCATTTATCGCCTGAAAGATTGTGTCGGTGATTTCAACCCGCGTGACAATCTCTTCAACTTTCCTTTCATAATAATTTGTTAGCGTATCTTTAAAGTCAATAGGTTGCCCATATGTGATCACGACCTTCTTTCCGCAAATAGGTATCCAATATTTACTCCCCCTTCCTTCGGGCATTATTTCCTCGGGGCCTAATTCGTAGGAGGGATAGAACTTTCAGAAAGAAACCACATTTCACAGATCCCATTGAACCAAAGAACCGGAGCAAACCTTTAAACCACAGTGGAATAACTATTGGTGGATTGGTTGACTCCATCATCAGACGACCAACTCCCCACTTAAACCTAAGCAGGCTCGTCTTTGGATTGATTTTACCTTCCGGGAAAATGTGAACCTTGAAATTAACAAGGTGTCGGTCAAGAGTATAGAAATAATCGATACCAACAGATGTATCATATACACACCCATTTTCCTTCGTTTAATTTGTCTATAGCAAAATTCATTGCTGGTTGATATATACCAGCCCCCCGAACTATTGGCACCACTTGACCAAGAGCGAAAAATTCGGAAAGAAGACTATTTTTTGTTAATAGGAAGAATTAGATGTACACCAAGGCTACGCAACTTGACCCAACAATAGTAATTCTTTTTTTTTTTTTGCTCACGGTGTGGTAAAACATATCTCTTGAGCACCGAGTGCCCAACGAAGATTGTCACGACTTGAAAAGATTCTCAGAGGGAGGCTGCCCCAGATCAATGGGTCGTCAATTCTAGGACAAAGAAGATGAACGGTAATGCACTGGTGCAAACAAAGGCAAAACGCATTTTCACCTGAATACTTACGTGGACGTATGATTGGAGACTGGTGAGAATATGATGGGGACGGCATCGATTAGATAGGTTGATGACCGAAACTATTGGTACGCAGTAGTTCATTATATTCTTACCCGTCAAAATAGGCCTCGTCCTTTTGGGATCCGTCAAAATCTTCAAGAATGGTTCTTCATTATACACAGTAGTTGAGCTTGTGCAAATTTTTAAGAAAAGTTTGCATAGCAAGGAAATGGAAGTTAGACAGCACCAGCTAGCGAAACCCCACAATTTGTTGGCGGCGGGTTTCAATATGATCCTGCCATTTACCTCGTAGTAGGGCGCGGGAACTTCGACTGGCTCAGGCGTAGTTGTATTGTTCTTGAAGGTGGACCCTGTCGAGCGTGTTTTTTCATCCATTCTCGGAGGAATTGTGCATATCCCAGAACGCAGATTCTAAGAAAAAAGAAAAAAGAAAGCTGAGCGACTTAGGCAAGTCCGTGTAAATTTAACATCGAATGTTTTTCGGGCCTACCCTTTCCACGCCTTTACCGCACCCTAATTTTTTCGCTTGTGACACGGTGGAAAAGTTTGCGTGGTCCCATCCGTTAAAGGATATATTTTGAAAGCGAGCGAGACTAGCATTAATTGGAATTTTTTCGCCGGACGTTAGAATATTTTGTCGTAATTTCCACGACTCGTAAAGTAAAAAGGAAAAGATACGAGGATTCATTAAAATCCATCGCCTAAACGGACAATAAACAATCATATACAGTATATATGAAATTGGATGACGTTACACGGAAAGAAATTAAAATTACACTACTTTAAACACGTGTAACCATCATATAATAAATTTCTAAAAAAAAAAAAAATTTTTAAACTTAATACTTCGAAGAAATTATGACTTCTGTAATTTTACCACCGGAGTTACTCGGTGGTAGTATTTTCAGGTATTTGCAACATGACAGATCGTCCATGCACGCGTGTCTCTTGGTCAATAGATTTTGGTGTCAGAATATGGTTCCGTGGTTGTGGACGCGTCCCTTTGAACTAGTGAAATCACGAAAACCGTCACTCAAACTCATCGACACCTACATCTCATGCCTTGATGAGTTTGAACGAGTTGTTTTTTCGAGGGAAGCTGAAATTCAACCGCCGATCGCCTCTTCGCGAGCCGCCTTCGATTATGCGTCGTTCATAAGAGAACTTCATGATGAAAGGTTGCGTTGCTCAATTTCACAATGGCTTTATAGCATATACCTTGAACGATTTCCAGAACCCTTTCACTTGGACATATCGAGTTTCGAGTCATGTCACAAAAAGCAAATTGATCGTGCTACTCTATTGCTCGGAAAAATTCTTTTAGACCACTGTCCAACCTTTAGTCGACTCGCGCTAGATCTCGATATTTACACTTCGGCAATCGCCAATTTTACTGGAGTTTACACCAACTGCCTCTCCCAACTTCGTTGCTTTGTCCTCAAAAACTTTCAAAAAACTGGTGAAATCTGTTATAGATTATCACACCTATGTAACAATTTACATGAATTGGAATTAGATCAGGCTATCGAGGGAAATGAGGCCGAGGGAGTAGCCCAACTGATCAAGGCACAAAATCGTTTGGCCAAGTGTAAATTACGGGTAGAAGAGCAATCGGCCATCAAGATTATCTTTTCAGCGTTGGCCAACCGATCGAATTATTTAACAAGTTTGTACTGCACTTTCGTCAACATTGATCATATCGATCCAACGGATTTGTCAAAGATATTCGATAATTTGGAAACTCTTGGATTGGCTTATTGTTCCTTGAGGCAAAAGATTTCCCTATCGGCTAAAAGATTGAAAAATCTTTATTTCGAGGATACCACGAGAGTCACTGTGACAGTTGAAGCGGCGAAATCTCTGATCGAAAGCACTAACGGGAATTTACGTCGTCTCTCGCTTGGCGGCGCAACTTCAATTCTCATGTCCGCCATAAAAAGATACTGTTCAAATTTGGTGGATCTTAATGTTTGTGTGTGGGGCGGGCAATCGACCAATTTTTCCGATTTTCTTGGATTTTTGGCGTGCTGTCCTCGACTTGAGAAACTACAGATCAATGACACTCTGCGTGTTCCGCCTCCCTGGAACACCAGTCCATGGTTAGTTGAGATGAGTAGATTTTTGCCCACAACTCTTTGGAGTTTGGAGATTCCTTGGGAGTTTACACCTGAAGCTCTGCAGGCGTTTTTGGAAAAATGCAAAGCTCCCATCAAAGAACTATATCTCACCAATCACATAAACCTTGTTGATGCTCATTTGGAGTGTCTTACACAGTACGCGATTAAAAAAGAAACATTGAAAAAACTAGGCGTATCCTCATATTGTTCCCTTACTGGTGAAGCATTTCAGGAAGCCAACAAGGTCATGATGGTTACAAGATATGGCGTTAGATTGACTTTAGTTGGAAGGCGATGATTATTACGCATAGTCAATATTATGTGCTTTTATTTTTATAGAAAACCATGATAATTTTCCTTTCTTTTACTTCCCTGACTGAATATACCATATGCACTATGCACTAATGACTTCTTTTTTTATTTTAGAATTCACTTTCGATTCCAACACTCATGGCACACATAAAATATTCGGAGGAACACATCCTCGCAGTAAAATACTTTACTTTCACTGTCTAACTTTTAACGATTTGTGCCACTTCCTGTACAGGTCTATTCTATTCTATGTAAATAAAATACCACATTTTGGACCGCATTATCACTTGAAGGCGACCAAAATACTAAATATGATTTTTTTTGGTCCCCATTTTTGAATAATATGATGCAAATTTTAGGATCGCAATTATAGGGTCCGAGAAATCCCGAAAATAATTACCCATATATTTTTTCGTCGACTCAAGACTAAATAACCCATAAATTATTGTTTCACATTCACATACACCATAAACTTCTGAAAGAATAATCATTCGATAAATCAATCGATAGGATTGTGATAAAATTGGTTGATTGTGTCTTAACGCATCGCATAATTCGATAATTGATGATCACTGATTGATGCGCTTATATTACAGATTACAGTATATTCAAAAAGAACGTGATACTTGTATCACGGATATAAAGTTACAATCAGCAATCACAATTAAAAAATTTAGCAATCAAAAATTTATTAATTAAAAGTTTAACAATAAATTTATTTTTATAAATTATTTGATATTATTTACATAATAATATATAATTAATTAAATTATAATAATATAAATTACATATTATATATTATATTATAGTTTCTATTATAAATAAATTCTTTTTACTGATTTTTTAATCATATACAAGAAAGATGTTTACAAGAAGTTTTATACTTCAAGGTAATAAAGTCTTATTACTTTTTTTAAATTAATTTGAGAATAAGATTCTCAAGAGTTATCTTACAATCTCATTATCTCTTTTTATATCTTGTTACAAAAAACTTGTCTCCTAATGATCAGAAAGACAATATTTACTCTTCTTACCAATAACAAGAAAGTAGACCTGACTTCTCTATCTTTTTTTTATCTACTATAGAAACATTACAAAGTCTTGTTTATGATGAAACTCTTTAGAAAACAATTTTATTACTCTTATGTTATGGTTAAGATTCTAAGAATATTTTTTCATGATTTTCTCTAAAGAATTTTACCTATCTCAGTTTGATCCCAAATTTTAAGTAACATAAAATTTTTGATATAGTAATTAGATAATAAAAACACATCAATAATCCAAAATGTAAATAAGCCTTTATTGACTATTCTATATGTTTGAATGTATTTCCTCAGTACTTATAAGAACCTAGGATCTATTATAAGTTGCAAGCCAGTTGCACAGATAAATACAGAATGTGAAATATATGATGTTATTAATTACATAGAAAAAAATAATGAAATTTGGACTAGGACTTATTGGATAACAAACAATAATCCTTCTCCACTCCTTCCTTTTTTCAATAAACACAATCAGAGAAAAAGAATTATAAGATAAGAAAGTTTTTGATTACCTGATATTAATACATTGAAAACATAACTTTTTAATCTATTAAGTAATTATCTTAATTTCTCTAAAATACTTTCTTGACAGTATTATAATATAAAAATTTTTTGATTAGTACTAGTAAAATTAAAATTTCATATAAAAGATCCCAACATCAAAGGTGATGGATAACATAAGTGAATCTTTGATATATTAGTCCCTCCTTTTTATATAATCAAGTGATAGCAATAAGCTACTCAGTAAACCATATTTTATTATATCTTTAGGAAATATCGAATATAATCTATAAATAATATAGTTAAAATATACTGATTGCAATAAATTATTAAAACACCATTGTTCAAAGTAATTTTAAAATTTGTTTTATTTTAGTAAGTAAAATATCTATATTAGATAGTTATATAATTATCTTATCCTAATTGAATGAGATATAAATAGTTTATTCTTTATACTATTTGTTAATTTATAAATCATTAGATAGTACAGATAATTATTTATTCTAATTATTCCTAGGTAAAAATAGGTCTCTAAAGGAGAAGACAGGAATAAAAGTCAAATGTCCTTTACTAGGAAACATTAAAAATTTTAAATTAATAATTATAAAAAAACTATTCACAATTGATTTCCATTATTTAAATCATTAATTTATAATATTTCTTTATTTTTATTCTATTAAAGTGAAGAACTATGAATTTTGTCTTTCAAAAAGAGACATAAGTGATCTATAAAATTTTATATACTAAATACTTTAGTGACCTATTATTATTCCTAGATATCTTCTTACTTTAATAAAATATGTTCACACTGATGCAAAGATAAGCTAGTATCAAATATATATATATATATATTTTTTTTTTTTTACCTGTAATCATGCCACAATGGCTTTTCTTTATTTTGAAAATGTAGTAAATATTTAATATTTTATAGA